TTGATAGTTACCCCCCACAACTGTATATTATGTAAGTTATTGTTTAGTTATTTTTCAATATAATTATGTTTTTTTTTTGTTGCTTTTTTTGTGTGTTTTTTGGGAGGAGTGGGGGAGGGGGTGTTGAGCCAGCTTGTTTAATCCCGCCCCCAATTTATATGGACAAACCCCAGGCCCTAAGTATATGTGTATATGTTACTCAAACACACATAATATGTAAACATATACGTGGAAATAAATAGACTCATTATTCAAATTTCTCCACACAAAAAAAATTATTTTAAAATCTCACCTGTTCATTGGTCCGTGTAGGCCTCACTTTAAATGCCACTACAAAAATGATTAAAATACTTTTCATTAAGAGTGTCATTGTCTTTCTTTCTTTGTTGTTATCGCACGCAAGCAGAGGGCAGACTTTAAAGAATGGAGTTAGTTTAGTTCAACTTTACAGATATATAGGGCGGGAAGTGTGTTTTTAAGCGGCTCTATAAAATAATGATCACATCCAACGTGACACCACAAACTGAACGATCACAAACTTATTCAAGTATTCAACGTTTTTGACGGTTTTCTTTGATGATAACAATGCACATCCAATCAGGGACGAGCAGAAAAAAAAAATTATCACATCCAACATTCACGGTTCACTTGTGAAATTTTGGTTCAAATGTCGAGTCCAACGATCAAACGACTCGAGGTGAACACTTTCAATGATATAACACCATGATTGTTTGACGATCAAGGCAGTTCCTTTTTTTAATTTTTAAACTCTTAATTCAACACCGGAGCAATTATTTTCACCCAAGAATTTGAGGACCAGAGCCAACATGACATAATTTTGGTTATCGGAGAACAAGAGAGGGGGGGGGCTATGTCCTCGCTGTGTAGGCTGGAGTACAACAGATTTCTATACACGTAGTCAAGAGATTAACATCCATACAGCACACGGGCCACGGTTTTCTTTCACAGCTAGCAATCAATAACAACGCTTTTAAAAAAAAATGTATAACCGCCGTCCTCGTTGAAACATCTTACCACTTCAGCTTGATAGTCATTGGATGGAATTCTGAATTAGAAAATATGTGTTACTGTCAAACTGAAAATAATAATAATTCATTATGAATGAAACAAATATAGCAAAGTATATTTACATATACAGTGGCGTACATAGGGTGGGGTGAAGGGGGTTAACGTCCCCGGGCAGCCTTTTTTTAAAATTGTTTATATATAACACATATATAACGTGTGTGTTTCTTTTGGGAGCTAGCACTTTTTAAGAATTCGCCTCTGGTGGCATTTAATCAAGCTACGCCTCTGTATACGCACACATAAATATGAATCTATCACGTGTAACTAAGTATACGCCAACTGGCTTGGCTCAGGGTAAATCCGCCCCACCCCCCAAACCCACCCACCCACCCCCACTTATTTTTTTTTCACTCTTAACTTTCATGATATTCACGGAATACTTCAAATTTCATTATCAAAGACACATAAGTCTATTTTCTGGAATAAGACATTTTATTTGTGCTTATCTTTTTCTCCCCGTCCAAACTAAAACAAAAAAACAACGCATTACAATATTATAATTAGCTCTTACGTGTACAGAGCACACCAGCATTTACAATGTACAACGCTCACATTAACAAACACAATATCGTGTAGTGAACTTCTGTTTCCCC